GCCAAGACGTACTAGCTGTCCTTAAATGTTTTACTTCACTCCATCAAATACGACCTTAACCTGTACATTCTTTCAAATATCTTAAGAGGGCCAACAAAACATCACAGAAATTCAGTTAAGTCTGAAAAGGAGAAGAATAATTTGACTTCATTAGGACTTCATTTATTCTGAGTACTCATGTATACATGCCATTCTGAATAAACTAAGAAACGCCCTTTCTTTGCACACTTTTGGAAATAATGGAGATGCTTACTCATACCATTCATTACTCTGTTCTTGCCAATTCTGCACAGTAATTTAATGAAATAATGAATTCTCATTCATGTCCTTCAAATTATGTTAAAATATGTGCACACAACCAGCCTTGAGTGCACTGTAAAACTTCATAAGAGTGACTTGCGGTGCTTTCACACTTTTAATTGGTTAATACTAATTTCTTTTCATCTTAAAAATATATCTCCTTGCTGCAAAAAACATGCTTGACATTTCACAACTGCTTAACATCTTGAAGGTTTAAAACTACTAGACCTCAAAATATATTACAGTGGATATTAAATAGAGAAAATTGTGAAATGAGTATCAGATAGGAGTGTTTAGATACTGGATGTGCATTGGATTGAGAATAACATATGAAACTGGTCCACAAAAAAAGCATTTTTGTAACCAAATCTGGTCTGTGCCAGATAACCGTGGGGAAAAATACACTAAATTGGTTGACAGAGTAAATGCAGCCTAGTTTAGTAACGTGTCGGAGGAAGAGGATTTCAGCCTGAAAGCTCAAAGACATAAAATGTTGCAACTAACAAATACATAAATAAATTATACCCAAAACAAAAACAACACAGTGCCAAACACCCAGTAGTGATTGTATCGCTCATGTTTGAACAGAGTTGCATCACTGGGGACAGGGTTGAAAAAAGCACCAAGCTAGAGAAGAGAAGAAACCATTTGAAATGTACAACTACAAAACTCTAAATCTTCTTCAGAAGCAAACTGTTAAATAAATCATTGCAGCTGAGTGAAGCAGATTAAAAGAGGATGTTTCGCCCGTTTGCTTGAACCATTTTTCTTTGGCAGGAGTGAGCAGAGCTTCCTTTTTGCCCACTGACGTCAGAAAAAGCAAGCCGCCAAGGGAACACATAGAAATGGCCATTTATTCGGGAGAACTGAACTATCGTCTTATTTCATCATTCCATCATGCAAAACACCAGATATAGCCAAGCACAATAAACATCAGAGACTATACAGGGACAAAGCTTTTAAAGGACAGAACACAAACGGAGAAGCGGTAAAAAGACTGCACATTTCGCAGAGATACAACTGACAACACTAGAAGGGTGAATCTCACAGAAACATGCTTTGGTTGCATTTCGTCCCAGAAGCAAAGAAAAAAAGAAAGTTTTATTTTGTATAAAGACAATTAAGCCTATTTTTTTATAACATTAAAATATGTATTTTTGATCATTACACAACTTTACCCATAAATTTCTCACTAGCTTAGCTTTTAAATTTCATAGGGGAAAATCTCTATTACTCTCAGTGATTTTCATTCTTTTAAAAATAGATAAATATATAAATTTGTACAACACTGAAAGTCTGAATTATTACACATTTTTGAATTAGTACCAATTTTGTGGGTTATGGATTTGGCAATGATTTTGCATTTGGAAAGGATTTAAGTAAGTAAATAAACCACAATGCTATAATAAAAATAATATTTTAGACAGTACAAGAAATACTGTATGTACGTATGTATGTATGCATGCATGCATGTATATATATATATATATATATATATATATTTCTTGTACGGTCTAAAATTTAATAAATATTTTTTAATTTTTATAATGAGAATAAGATACAATAATAATAGTTAAGTGAGAAAGCTTCATTTAAAAACAAAATATATATTTTTATGAACTGCCTGTGAAGCACCGTATAATTATTTTGTTATTTTGATTTTGGGATGAAATACGATCTGCACATGTTCTTGACAGGAATACTGCTATTTACCCAGAACTGCCTGCGGCTATGTATATAAACTGACTTTAACTGTGAGTACAGAATGAATTAAGGGGAAAAAAACATAACTGAGAAAGAGAGGTAGAAAGAGAGGGCTGGGTGATTTTCAATGACAGCACGCATGCAGCTGCCAGGCGGTGAGGAATTGAAAAGCATGCAAGGGTTGTCCTGTAATATGAGCAAGGCCGCGGGGAAATAGGTCAGGGGGTTAGAGACACACAGAGGCTCCAGTTAGTATATGTGCTTCCTCCCCTCACCTCATGTACACTGCCTAAAAATACAGGCCACAGTAATGAGCACAGCCATTACTCCTGTCAGCAGCTGAGAGCAGCCCAGTCATGGCCTATATTCAGCTCGCACATTCCTAACCCACTTATGAAGCATACTGATCATTCATTAATCCATGAAAACACACATACTAATTATTATACAGGGCAAGGATGTATAGCATTACATTTGTCCCGACTAGCTTCCACAACTTCAATCATCACATGCTTCAGCTGTTAGCTTAGCTTAAACACGCACACACAAACAGCTCCACTACAGTCTGTGGAATCATACGGAAACCTACTAACATAGAGCATGGCTGACATTTTTGATTAGTCGACTTATTCCTGTCAATGACTAGAAAATCCCTGAAGGTCAGACATATGCTGTCTTTTCAGTGGCTTTGTTCCAAATGCTAGTGAGCTGCTAACAGTATTTTTAGGCACTCCTAAGCTAAGGCAGTGGGTAGCAAAATTATGCTCTGTTAGATGTCTCGTTTTAGCCAATTTTGGAATCTCTGCCACACTACAAAAAAAAAAAAAAGGCACACAGCACACAAATATTGGGTAAAATAGTCCAATATTACAAGGGAAGTAAGTAGGAACTAACAGCACCAAACAGACTAGCAACAAAAAAAAAAC